TCTTGAGGTGTTAATTATGTACAAGAGAAAACCTAACTGTGAATGGGTTGTCATCATCAAGGGCTTCACAGTTTTACTCTTTATGTGCTTTCTTGTATGTGGTAGTAGAGCGTTCAGAACTAGGCAGACACAATAATGTTAGTGGCAACAGCCTACAATCCTCAGACATTTGTAAATGAGATTGTAGGTGACTTACAGACATACAAGTGAAGAGGCTCCCTAGCACTAAGCAAATAGACATGAAAAGAAATATGCATACTCTATAGAAGGCAACATTTCTTGAGGGAGAATGCAGGTTTTTGTGGAAGCCTCAGTTAATATAAAGGTGCTCCTCTGGTTGGTGGAGGATTTTGTACATAGCAGAGATTTCAGAAGCTTCCAAATAAATAAAGCAAGCAATCTTGTTAAACCTAAGAAAGGTAGTTTGAGGGGATACACAAAGTGGGTGTCCTTGTGTGTCCCCTCAAAATGTGTTTCTTAGATTCAAAGAGGAAAGCATTACAAAACTTTTCAAAAGGAGGGAAATTGGCTGACCATAGGGAAGAAAAAGAAACAAGGGAGTCCAGGACATTGTTTATGGTGGAGGTATGCATAAGTATGTGTGTCTTTGCAGGTATATGGGAGCATAGAGCTACATACACAAACAATTCACTTCCCTCTCCCACAACACACACACACACAAATGCAGGTATTCAGTGATATATCTAGGAGACTACATAAGTATCATGTAATTTTAACTTGTGGATTCTCTAAAAAAGATAATGTAGGCGTGAACATAAAGCAAAATGGAAAGTATTATGTAAAATAGAAAGTAGGGAAATAAGGCCGGGTGTGGTGGCTCACATCTGTAATCCCAACACTTTGGGAGGCCAAGGTGGGTGGATCATGAGGTCCTGGCTAACATGGTGAAAACCCATCTCTACTAAAAATACAAAAAATTAACCCAGCATGATGGCACACACCTGTAGTCCTAGCTACTCGGGAGGTTGAGGCAGGAGAATCATTTGAACCCAGGAGGTGGAGGTTGCAGTGAGCCGAGATTGTGCCACTGCACTCCAGCCTGGGCGACAGAGTGAGACTCCAGCTCAAAAAGAAAAAAAAGAAAGAAAAAAGAAAGTAGGGAAATAACCAAAGTTGTCTTCTCACTACACTCAAAGCTGTATCCTGGTGAAGAAGTATCACGGCACGGACTAAGCATGGGAGTGAGCTCAAGAGTCTGTCATCTGATCATGGTAAATGCTGCCTCTTAGGAGGTCTTTTCAAGTCAGGTTAAAAGTGTGATGAAGGCATTCCTCTTCTACTGAAAGTGAATAAAAAACAAGATTGTTTCTGGATAGAATATGATCACCAGGATTGCATTTACGCTCCCACCTTAAACAACTAAAACAAAAACCGAACAAGAACAGCAGCAGCAACAACAACAAAAATAGAAATAAAAAACATAAGAGCAAGAGTGTTCTGGCAGTGGATAACAGGTAGTGAAGAGCACGGGACAGTGAGAGCCTGAAACAAGTGAGGTGAGAGCCCTTCCCAGTTTCCTGTCTGGAGAGAGCTCCCAGTCCATGGTGCAGAGAGGGAACCCAGGAATAGCCCAGCTGACTCCACAGTTTAAGAGAAGAGTTTGGAGTCTGAGGAGTCCAAGGCAGATAAAATGTGCAGGGCAGAGGAACAGAGAGGAGAGAGCTGCCCTACATTGCTATTAAAGCAGCTCCAAATTGCTAGAGTGAAAGAAATTAAATACTATAGATACTGAGTTCTTACCTTCTAATCTGCTAGTGTAATCCACCAGTCAATTCCAATCTAATTATAAAATGCCTTCATTTCTTTCAATTACCATTAAAAAGTATAATTTATAATCCATCATAGCTCTTTCTAAAATTGAATTTTGTCACCCTCTGCAGCTGAACTTGCAGGGTAACTTGAGTTCTTCAACTTCCCAAACCCCCTCAAGAAACCAGAACTGTCCTGGTCTTTGCTTTGTTGCCTCCCCCATTTGCTCGCATCTCTAGACTTTTCTTACCAGTTCTCCATATTGCCATCATAAAAGCCCAAGGACTAATACCTAAAACTCTCCTTAAGGAAGAGGAAGCTGAGTGGGCTGAGAAAGATTCTTCTGAGCAGTGTTGGTGGAGGAGAAAAGAGGGAGGACAAGAGACATCTGCATGTGCATGCTCTTGCTCTTTTTATAAACAGAGGCTCAGATGCTTAGAATTCTCCTTTTGCAAGAGTTAAATAATCTCTCCAATGGTATTCCCTAAGAGCAAAATAACTGCATTCTGGGTATTCTTCAGAACAGGCAATGCTGAATTTGCAGTTTGTAATATTTAGTATGAATCTACTGTGACAAAACTAATAATTAATTCAACTCCAAGTATCCCCACATTCTTCATTTGGGAAAAAAACAAAACTGCTAGAAAGCATTTTTGTTTTTGCTTTTTGATAATTTTCTGGCAAAACCTAAAAATATTGAATTTACTTGAAGGAAACAAACCAAGTTAGAAGCCAAGAACAGTATTTCAATCCTTTATTGTTTTTGAATAACAAGTCATCTATTTTCATCAGAATCTCTCTCTCTCTCTCTCTCTCTCTCTCTCTCTCTCTCTCACACACACACACACACACACACACACACACAGATGCCAGATCCCCTCCACATCGATTTTTATCAGTAAATAGAGAACATTCAGTTTGCTCTCACAACGAATGCTAAATAAAACTTGCAAAGGTGATACTGAGCAGATGGACTTATAAAATAACTCTAATAAATGCATGAAATGTGTTAATCTCTTGAAAAGAAGGGTAATCAAATGAGATTATTGTACATTCATGTACTCTAACCAGCAAGTTCTGAGTAAAATCACTTGATTGCAAATTTTGAAGCACGAATTTTAGGCTAAGTGTTATAACTGCAAATAACATGATCAGAATTTTCCAAAGAAAAAATATCATTGAAAAAGAAATACAAAAATACATTAACATTTAAATTATTTGATTTAAATGCTACCAGACAAAGATGCTTATGGGATAAAAATAACCTATAAATAAAAACCTTTTCTCCTCAGAGCCTTGATTTTTATTTCAACACCAAACGCAAATATAAGTTTTGCTTTCATCTACAAGTTTGGATTAATCACATAACCAATATCTTATAGAAATAAAGATGATTTATATGCATATTTTTAAGCATAATTAAAAATAGGGCAGAAATAGAATTTCTCAAGTTGAGGATACAAAGATGCCCTTAATTTGAGGCAGTCTATTTACCTATAGTATTAAGCAATCTATATATTAGGCTTTGTATAAAGGTATAAATCTGTACTGAGAGAAGTCATGGCATCATTGCAATGAGGAAAATCTGAAAAGGAGATAAGTAATGACACTATTGAAACTCAATGGAGACAAAAGAAGAGGGTTGAATAGAGTGCCAGGATCTTTCCTCGCTTCTTATATGGGGAGTTAGTGCTGTAAATTTCCCTGTAGATACTACTTTAAATGTGTCCCTGAGATTCTGGTATGTTGTGTCTTTGTTCTCATGGGTTTTGAAAAACATCTTTATTTCTGCCTTCATTTATTTATCCAGTAGTCATTCAGTAGCAGGTTGTTCAGTTTCCATGTAGTTGTGTGGTTTTGAGTGAGTTTCTTAATCCTGAGTTCTAATTTGATTGCACTGTGTCTGAGAGACTCTTTGTTATGACTTCTGTTCTTCTGCATTTGCTGAGGAGTGATTTACTTCCAATTATGTGGTCAGTTTTAAAGTAAGTGCTATGTGGTGCTGAGAAGAATGTATATTCTGTGGATTTTGGGTGGAGAGTTCTGTAGATGTCTATTAGGTCTGCTTGGTTCAGATCTGAGTTCAAGTCCTGGATATCCATGTTAATTTTCTGTCTCATTGATTTGTCTAATATTGACAGTAGAGTGTTAAAGTATTCCCCTATCATTGTGTGGGAGTCTAAGTCTCTTTGTAGTCATTAGGAACTTGTTTTATGCATTGGGTGCATGTATATTTAGGACAGTTAGTTCTTCTTGTTGTATTGATCCCTGTGTTATTATGTAATGCCCTTCTTTGTCTCTTTTGATCTTTGTTGCTTTAAAGTCTGTTTTATCAGAGACTAGGATTGTAAACCCTGCCTTTTTTTAAATCTTCATTTGCTTGGTAAATCTTTCTCCACCCCTTTATTTTAAACCTATATGTGTCTTTGCATGTGAGATGGGTTTCCTGAATGTAGCATACCAGTGGGTCTTGACCCTTTATCCAATTTGCCAGTCTGTGTCTTTTGATTGGGACATTTAGCCCATTTACATTTAAGCTTAATATTGTTATATGTGAATTTGATTCTACCATTATGATCCTAGCTGGTTTTTTGCTCATTAGTGGATGCAGCTTCTTCATAGTGTTGATGGTCTTTAAAATTTGGTATGTTTGCAGTGGCTGGTACTGGTTGTTCCTTTCTATGTTTAGTGCTTCCTTCCGGAGCTCTCGTAAGGCAGGCCTGGTGGTGACAAAATCTCTCAGCAATTGCTTGTCTGTAAAGGATTTTTTTTTCTCCTTCATTTATGAAGCTTAGTTTGGCTGGATATGAAATTCTGGGTTGAAATTTCTTTAAGGATGTCAAATATTGTCCCCCCACTCTCTTCTGGTTTGTAGGGTTTCTGCAGAGAGATCTGCTGTGAATCTAATGGGCTTCCCTTTGTGGGTAACGTGACCTTTGTCTGTGGCTGCCTTTAGCATTTTTTCCTTCCTTTCCTCCCTAGTGATTCTGATGATTATGTGCCTTGGAGTTGCTCTTTTTGAGGAATTCTTTGTGATGTTCTCTGTATTTCCTGAATTTGAATGTTGGCCTGCCTTGCTAGGTTGGGGACATTCTCCTGAATAATATCCTGAAGAGTGTTTTCCAGATTGGTTTCATTCTCCCCATCACATTCAGGTATACCGATTAAATATAGATTTGGTCTTTTCACATAATCCCATATTCTTGGAGACTTTATCTCATCACTCCATCATCATCTCCTAAAGATGCATCCTGACTTATCTCCACACTTGCACACTGAGGAATGCAACATGTTGATTAACTTGCTTAAGGAATGTCACAAAAATCACAACATTCTGAAATTTTTTGGTCATTGTAACGATTTTGATCAGGAGGTGACAAAATGCATGAAGAAGGAGTACATAGAAAAGAGGAACAAGAGCAGGGAACATGGCATTGCAATGCGAAAGAGACTTATTAATCTTCCAGAGGAATCCAAAAAATAAATTGTATTTTCACTGGATGCCTTGGCTGAGAGAAGACCTAAAGACTCCGGGTTGATACATGAAATGGTCCTGTCTTATTTGGTCTCCAGAATCCTTTGAATGGAAAGTGACCTGTGGGAAATTGAACCATGGAGAAATATGAAAACCCTGAATTCTGAATATTTGTTGGGCAGAGTGTTTAGTACCATCTCCCCTTTACCAACAAACCTGACTTCACCATGTTTCTTCCCTTTGCCTACAGCCGGTTAATATCTGAGTAACTAATCTCTGTCAATAAAATAATTTATTCAAAAAAATTTTTTGAATAAATTATTAAATTTATTATCAATTATCAATTAAATTATCAGTTAAACTTTGTTTCATTGAGTTAATCTTCAATCTCTGATATCCTGTCTTCCGCTTGATCAATTCGACTATTGAAACCTATGTATGCTTCACAAAGTTCACATGCTGTGTTTTTCGGCTCCATCAAGTCATTTATGTTCTTTCTACACTAGTTATTCTAGTTAGCATTTCATCTAAGCTTTTTTCAATGTTCTTTGTTTCCTTGTATTGGGTTAGAACATGCTCCTTTAGCTCAGAGATGTTTGTTATTACCTGCCTTCTGAAACCTGCTTCTGTCAATTCATCAAACTCATTCTCCATCCAGTTTTGTTCCGTTGCTGGTGAGGAGTTGTGATCCCTTGGAGGAGAAGAGGCATTCTGGTTTTTGGTGATTTCAGCCTTTTTGTTCTTCCCATCTTTGTGGATTAATCTACCTTTGATTTTTGAAGTTGGTGACCTCAAATGAGGTCTCTGAATGGACAGCCTTTCTGTTGATGTTAAGCTATATCTTTCCATTTTTTCATTTTCCTTCTGACAGTCAGGCCCCTCTGCTGGAGGTCCACTCCAGACCCTGCTTGCCTGGGAATCACCCACGGGGGCTTCAGAACAGCAAATATTGCTGCCTGTTCCTTCGTCTGGTAGCTTTGTCCCAGAGGGGTACCTGCCCAATGTCAGCCACAGCTCTCCTGTATGAGGTGTCTCTTAGTCAGGTTAAACGGAGGTCAAGGAGCCACTTGAAGAGGCAGTCTGTTCCTTATCAGAGCTCAAGTGCTGTGCTGGGAGATCTGTTGCTCCCTTCAAAGCTGTTGAATAGGGATGTTAAAATCTGCTGAATCTGAACCTGCAATAGCCCTTTTTCCCCAGAGCTTCTGTATGAGGAAGATGGTGGCTTTATTTATAAGCTTTTTTTCAGAGATGCACTGCAAGAAGGGAGTCTAGTCACAGTCTACCTGAAGAGGCCTTGCTGAACTGCTGTGGGTTCTGCCCAGTTGCCATGTAAACTTCCAGGAGACTTTGTTTACACAGGCAAAGTTGGAACCACCTACCCGTGCCTCAGTAATGGCAGGCACCTCTCCCCCCACCGAGCTCAAATGTCCCAGGTTGCTGTGTTGGCTGTGAGAATTTCAAGCCAGTGGATCTTAGCTTGCTGGTCTTCGTGGGTATGAAATTCGCCTAGCCAGATCACTTGACTCCCTGGCTTCAGCCCCCCCTTTTTTTTTTCAGGGGAATGAGCAGTTCTGTCTTGCTGGTGTTGCTTTTCTAAAGAGATAAAGGCAGAGAAGAACAAAGGAAAAGAGGAAATAAGTGAGAAAATGCTTCTCTAAGCATTGGAATAACATTTCCAAATAAGGAAGGGGAATAAGCTATGACCTAAGACTTGCCTGGCCTTGTCTCGGCATGTCAGGGTGAATATCTAGGTTAAAATGTAAGAACTAAGGACACAGGGTACACTTATTTCTTTATTACAACTAACAGCTACTTTAAGATTATTAGCAGAAGCTTTAAAGTAAATTAAGCTTTGAAGAAACTATTATTTATTTGTAATTAACTAAGAGGAAAGCTTTGAAGAGGAGTCTTTTATTTATTCTTATTTTCTACAGAGTAGTGATAGTGAGGAAAAGAAAGAGATATGGAGGGACCACTGGAATTATCATTTGAGAGAAGAGGAGTCTATTAAAAGTTAGAGAACAGGAAGAATAAAATTTCCAGGAAAGGGCAGAGAATGAGTAAAAACAAAGACTGCAGGGTAAGATGTTTAAAGTTCTTAGTTTTCAGGAACTTCTTCCTCAGCATCATGTTATTGAATAAATCTTCCTTTCTCACTGATTTTTAGTATTATTTTAGTCATATTTTAACTTCTTAGATGGACCAGTTTATCCAATGGGATGTCTAAATTATGCTATTGCACACATTTGTCTATTTGCTTTAGAGAATCTCTACAATACTAAATGCTATTAATAACATGTCGCACATGTTCGTAGTCTGTTTATCGAAATCAAAAGTTTGTTCAAGAAAACTAATCAAGAGTATGGGCTGGGCACAGTGGTTCACACCTGTAATCTCAGCACTTTGGGAGGCCAAGGCGGGTGGATAACTTGAGGTCAGGAGTTCAAGACTAACCCGGCCAACATAGAGAAACCCCATCTCCACTAAAAATACAAAAATTAGCCAGGCATGGTGGCGAATGACTGTAATCCCAGCTACTCAGGAGGCTGAGGCAGGAGAACTATTTGAACCTGGGAGGTGGCAGTTGCAGTGAGCTGACATCATGCCATTGCACTCTAGCCTGAGAAACAGGAACAAGACTTCATCTCAAAAAAACAAAAACAAAAACAAAAACAGAAACAAAAAACCTAACCAAGAGCCTATTATTCATTATTTTAAAGAAAAAACTGTAATGCATTATACTTCATCCCAAATTCACCAGCAAATTTTCTGAAAGTCGACTAAAATTTAGTAAATACAAATATAACAGGATATTGCAGTGTTAGGATCTATAGTGCTTTAAACATAGCTTCTACAGACCATCAGTCATTGTTTTTAAAAAACACAACTTTTCTTTTTATACAGTAACATGTAGATTTCTCATGCTGTACTCTGGTAAACATGCAGGAAAAAATAATTTATTAGAAATAATGTGTATAAAAATAATGAAAAACAGGAAAATTTTCTGTGATAAACAAAACTTATAAATGGAAGGGAGTTTAAATGCATATTCACTCAGTATCCTCTTCAAAATGTCTAGCACATGGTCCCAACAATGTACCCAATTGTATACAGAATGTAATTTAAACAGTTTTTTGCAGTTCCTTTTGTTTAATGTTGAATTGAATTTGGAAGAAATTACATTAGTCTTTCTAAATAAATATTGTCCAATAAATCATGGATTGATAGATACTTGCCTACTATACATTTGGATACTAAAAACTAAGAAGCATGAAAAAGAAGGTGAAATGTGAATAAGGATTTATATTTGAATTAATGGTATTGTGCCAAAGTATAATATCAATATTGTTGTACTAGTATTGATTTCCTGGTTTTGACAATATATTATAAGTTGATTTCCGTGGGGGAAGCAGAATAAAGAATAGCCTCCATACTCTTTTTTGGCAACTTCTTATAAATCCAAAGCTATTTCAAAATAAAATGTAATTTTAAAAAAAGCATTAACTGAGAATATTATGTGGAAGATGCCTGTACTTTGTTCTTGTTGTTGATTTATTCTATCAGTTTACACTAGGTTCACAGAATTAGTTATAACTATTCTTCTAGGCTTAGGCTGGTTGCAGTGGCTTACACCTCCTAGTACTTTGGGAGTCTGAGGTAGGAGGATCACTTGAGGCCAGGTGTTTGAAACCAGCCTGGGCAACATAAGGAAACCTCATCTTGACTGAAAAAGAAGAAAAAAAAAAAGAATTATTCTTTTATATTTGGCATTTCCCTTTACAGATGGTTAGAATATATTGCCATGATTTGATTACATTACTCTGAGTAGGTACTAAACTACTTGTGGTAAAAAAGAACTTCGATAGCATTTATATAACTTGTTGGTAAATCAGAGTCAATACAGTGAATGAATTAATAGCTTCCAGCTGAAGAAATTTCTGTTCTATAAAATGTGATGAATTTATTGTAGGTTTTCAAAGTTCAAAGTAATAATTCCTACAGATATTAATCAGATTTGTGTTTCCATATTTTATAACAGGATAATAACCATCTCTACTTATACGCCAAATTTTAAGACTATGGTTTTTGGGTGAGCAAAGAAGAATGGAGTAAAGAACTTCATAGTTACAGAACATCAACTGTGTATCAACCTCTATGGTAGGCATTTTCATTTTCTATTAAACCCTAATGACTCTGCAAGTCAAGTGTTACCAATCCCACTTGAAAGATATGAAAGTTGACTACAATAGATTAAGCAATTTTTCAAAGGTTTCACAGCTAGTAAGTGTTTCGGGCCATGATTTAGCCTCAGATCTTCAGGTCTCATTCAGCCCTCACTCTCCTCCACTGAGAGGGCATGATGATACTGATTTGCTACTAGCTCAGTAATTGCACTTGTCTGTAGAGACAATAAATCTTTGACTGATCTCTGCTTTGCATGGTATTCTGTATTGATCATTATGTCCTCCTAATCTTCCTGTACTTATAGAGAATACTTGTTCAGATCTGAGCTAAACTCTGTTCCTGAGCACTTCTAATTTCCTACCATGTTCCACATAAATGATTCAGTAAGTTATTTTTACCCCAACAACAGAATATACTCCTATCACCTCCACAAATAAAGAATTTATTTAAATGATATTAGGTAGGCTAGGCATGGTGGCTCATGCCTATAACCCCAGCACTTAGGGAGGCCAAGGCGGGTGGATTACTTGAGGTCAGGAGTTCAAGACCAGACTGATCGACATGGTGAAACACTGTCTCTACTAAAAATAGGAAAATTAGCCAGGCATGGTGGTGCATGCTTGTAATCTCAGTTCCTTGGGAGACTGAGGTGGGAGGATCACTTGAAGCCAGGAGGTGGAGGTTGCAGTGAGCCAAGATTGTGCCACTGCTCTTCCAGCCTGGGCAACAGAGTGAGACTCCATTTCAAAATAAAAAAGGTATTAGGTAGATCACAGAATCTTCTGTTGAGGCAGATCTTCTGATGAGGCAGAGAAGCTAAACAGCCAGAAAAAAATCTGCAACCTGATTGTAGACATAGGTAGCTAAAATGTCATCTCCTACTGCTGTATGGTTTCTATGACACTCAGAACTGATCATCAGAAACTCTGATAGTGCTTTTTTCCACAAACCAGTGCCTGTATCACACTAGCCAGAAAAGCAATTCCCCTCAACACAACTATGGCCACATAATGCATTTTCACACCCAGGACACATGCATACAGGTATCATTGGCAAAATCTAGATCATGTGACTACATCTTGAGTAAACATTTGAGATCCATTTGTGGTC